GGTCAGGCCCATCAATACAAACGCAAAGTAGTATAGCCCAAAATAAGAAAAAGATGTCCTTATCAACATCTTTGCTGAAAGACTCTAAGACAAGATGGTATTTGAGTTGTTTATAGGTCTTATCGTCATGTTTCAAGACATCTCATTGGGATTGTCTTCATACAGATATGTGCTGACATTGAAATGACAAAAAATAGGGAAAGGAACAAAGTACTCTACACATTTTCAAGGTACGCTGTAACTATCTGGTAAACTTTTTATTCCTGAATGTGTCTAAATATTATTATTCTTTCGGGTGTCTTTATTCTTGTTGTATGTAATTGAAATGACACGTACCATTTCTGCATTCTTTCTTTATGGGTTGTTTGACATTCTTGTTCCTTGATTGTCTACAATATTCTGTGCTTAGCTTGGATAAATGCAATATATACGAATTGCTGACGAACTGATATTTGAGAAGATGAATAATGCATCTTATTCACCAAATGATTAAATAAAAGAAAGTCAAAAAGACATTTTTATACACAATAAATGCGGAAATAGAAGTTTAAAAAAGTGTGAAGAACAACTAGATTATCTTAATTTCATGGCTAAAATTCATTTTTCATTCGAAGTTGATACATCCAGACTCGTTAATTGAATAATTGAGCAAACACGCATCAATAACAGTATTATGGAGAAGAACAGACACATCCTCTTTGACATATGTTTAGAGAACTTGTACAACTCTCTATGAGAAGATGTTTAAGAGTAGAAATCGTAGTCTTTGGCTTGAAGTATAATCTGCCTTAGGGCTCCAATAGGTGCTACAATCATCAACAGAATACCGAGAATGATGCAAATCTGAAATTAATATAATGAGAAAAATTGAAACCGATCAGTTTTTAGACCCCAACAGTAGAATTAAAGGAAAGCGGAAACAGAAGTTCATACCCAGTTAGTCCACCAAGATAGGCTGAATTTCCTTGGTTTGTAGATGGCTAGCCACATGATACAGGGCAGCTGAAGGGATGTATTATAGTGAATGTTATCCCTTTTTCCAAATTGAAGAATAAGTATAATAGGTGCTGAAAAAATTGCTTACAAAGTATGTTGTTGGCGCAAAAGCAAAGCCACCGAAAAATCCTAGAAGCCCACCAAAGAAGGGGAAGCTAATGGCAACAAACATTGTAAATCCTGTAATAAAAGAAAATGAATGAACCTGCTGTAGAAGTACAGAATTACAAATCAGACAAAGTTTGGTTTACATACCCACATAGATATTCCTTGAAACAAAGCGTACGTACCAACTTGGCCTGAATTTTAGTTTCTTATAAAGCACAGTTTCTATCATGTCAAAAACTGGCATTGCATAGATCTGCATGAAAAAAGAATAAAAGGTTATCTACTTTTTCTATCTTAGATGAACAAATTTGGAGGAGAGAATTCAATTCACCTGATAACTCCCAATAACGTGTACCACAACAAACATGTTAGCCATGGCAATGAGCCATATGGGTTTCTCTAATGTGATGAGAATGTTGTCGTCGACTTTATTACCGAACATCCAATACCCAATAAGAGCCACAGGGAAGTAGCACAATGCAACGACTACATAAGCAACAATCACTCCCCTCCACATAGGTACCTTAGAAGGCTTCTCTGGTGTAGAAGGTATTGTAGATTGAATTTCCAAAACCACATTATGACCAGCATAAGCAAAAGCTACATCGCCCAATGCACTGAAGAAGTTGAAAACAGTTCCTGCTGTAGTTGTAGCTTTGTATCCATATTGCATGTCTTTCTGCACTCCCTTGTCAACTGAAGCCCCCCAAGCAATGGTAGAATAACTTCATAGTAAAACATAAGCACGTAAGGATG